TATCGTCATTGGAGATGTATTATCGTGAGAAAACTTACCTTCAATCATGATAACTCCATGAATTATATATGAAATAATGATTTTGATGCATGAGCCATGGATCTCATAGATCATCGATATAGTTATACCCGTTGCTAGTCCTATATAAAAATATGCTTAAGATGATAGTTACATAACGAAAGGCTAATCAATGTTGAATAATTTTTTAAATTTGCAATCTGTAATGAAAGCTCGGATAATATTCATGAAAGAGGGAAGAACTACGTTCCATGCGAATGCCTGAGTACACGTGGGTATAACTTCAGGCTCGTTAACTCAGTCATTAGTTTTACACATCCCTCTAGGGTAAGAAGACTAGAGGCATGGGTAAATTCCCGCACAGAAAAGCGCAACTACAAGGAACGATACTACATCCCCCGCCATGCGTCACGCACTCTGTCTATTTTACGTTTAGTACTTACAATTAGTACCGTGAAAACGAGCATCCAATCTACGTGGAAATTCCACTCTCTTAACTCGCTCTACACCATCCTTCGCCGACTGTACATTGTACTATTCTTTTATCAAAGTACCTCACAGGGATTCCACATCAGTTATGTATGCTACTAGTAAACATTACATAATGCTTCCGAAACTCGAATCTCCTACTATATACGTCTCCCTGAAACCGATGTACTCTGCTCGAGCTTCTATCAATGTAAACTACATGGATCAATTTTACGGAAAGAATAAACTGACAGATTTAAAAAAAAAGGAACACTCAGTTCCAAAAACATTGTGAAATAACATATAACGTGAATATTTTACATATTGAATATTTATAAATTTCCGATAAGTCAATCGTAAAAGATAATCAAAAGATTAACCCATAAATGAACATCTTCTTAACTGATGTGTTATTCGAAGAAATTCACCTACACTCAATATACTGTTCGGGGTTGATATGCCAATTTTTGAATCGACCTGTATGGAAACGGGCTAGTCGAGTCTGCATGGCGAACAGTGCCTGCCAATGAATTACGAGCCAGTCTACATCACACGCAATCGCGCCCGTAACTTTACAAAGACGTATGTAGTATGTACCGACATACGAGGAGGGGGAGGGAGGGGGGAATGGTTGTTCGATATAGAAAGAGAGAGAGAGAGAGAGAGTGAGAGAGTGAGAGAGAGAGAGAGAGAGAG